TGTTTGCATTGCATGATTGAAGTTGCATGAATATAGTTGTTGCTCGTTATACTAATTGTAAGCATTCATCGTTAATCGCGTTCTTCACCGGCTGTCTCTTGTCGGTTCACGAGCGTCCATCGTATAGAAATGAAGATCGAAGTGCCGCGATTCAGAGATTCTTTGTTCAAATTTTATCATAATTATTATGCATAACATTGATCTCAATGCCACTCGTTTTTCGCGCATTATGAAGTGAACCCCGTCGAAACTTTCAAATTTCAAGTCAAGTTGAAATCGAAATTTTGTTTTTCGCTTTTCTAAATTTCGAATTATTTCGTTTTTGAAATTAAAATATCAGTTTCGAAAGCAAAATTTCGTGGGATTCTACCAAAAAGTTCGAAATCTCCGATTCAGAATGGAAAATTGGCAAAATGATATCCAAAATACAAGTGTTTAACTTTTTCTTTAAGTTTTTAACGTATTGGAAGTTCGATTTAAGGTCACCACTAATTGCAGCCGTTTGTTCGTTAATCAAGATAGGTTTTTGCACAGTAATTAGTGGAAGTTGAATTAATTTGATCTAATTATTCGTACGTATTAATAGCGGTAGATATCACGGATAGATTGTTGCTAGAGATCGGAACGTGTGACTCAAAAGACTTTCTCACAATCAGCTGTCATTTATTATCTCTAAAAATCTACACTGGAACCTGGTTATGATTTATTTATTTCTAATCACAATACCATTCCTTTTATAGAGCTGGATTGCTGACCAACGTCAACCCCGAATTCATTATAAATGAATTTCTTCAGTGTCGTTGCAGAAGCCTCAAATATCCTTTCACGAACACAGTTTTCTCACATTAGAACAACACAGCATCGCTTTAGTAATGAAAATTAGAGAGCGCATTGTGTCAAAACTCAATATTTGATGTATGTTGTCCGAAGAATGCCATGAAACAAACAAAATCTTCTCATCAATCTTTTTGAGAACATGATGAAAATTCCATAGTTTAATGAAAAAATGTTCATAAACTGAAGCAGATTGTTCGTGTAAGCCGTGCTTTGACGATATTTAGAAAGTGTACATCAACAAATAGCAGAGCTTGTTTTATTGATGAAACATATTTTCTTCTTTCAGCTGGACCTTTTTATGTGCGTTGTTAACGCAGTGATAATCAACCGGTTTTTCTCAGCACTTCCCTAATTGAATTGTGGTACCATCATTGTCCTCTCTCAGAAAACATCCAGTCTTTATTGAGAATTCAACATTGCTAATGAAAAATGTTTATCAGTATCATCAAACCTTCCAAACAATAATCGTCATTCTATTCATCTCAGCGGAATGGTAATATGATCATCAGCAGTGAATATTACTTCTGTATTGAATTATTCGGTGTGCTCGTCAAACTGCGTTAGGAGAGAACAGATTTGTCACAAATTGATGCGCAAATTTGATGCACAATTCGCTTTAGAAATTCTTTTTCGATACTTTGCTTGTTTTTATTTTTAGATGTCCGTCTCTAACCCATCCCCAGTGGTACTTCCGTTAGCAGGATTTGTACCATCCCTGGGCTGATCTTTAGAGCAGTGAGTTCACGACAATAGGAAATCATTTCTGCAATCAACAACGCTTCCTGTTTGAATTTACTGCTACTTTTTTGTTGCTGTGAAGTTTTAAATTATTTTGAAAAGTTTCAAATCATATCGAATTCCGATTTCGAATTGAAAAATTTTTCGAATTTCTAATTTTGAAAAGAAGTTCGAAGCTATGATCTCTGAGTTCCGACTTTCGGATTGAGGGTAAATCGAAATTTCGACGGGGATCCTTACAAACAGTGTAATTAATGGCACATGTGGATACGATTGTAATTAATGACACATGTGGACTCAATAAGGTGAGATTCATTTAACGTGAAAATCCCATCTTCTCGGAGCTAGGACACCTTAATATCTATATGATCCCTAAAAATGTCCATTTACAATCATTTCATAAAGATTACAAATTCTCTGGGTTATTATCGTTAGCTGTTTGGGAAGAAGGATGTCAACGAATGATATTTGTGATGTCGGTGATAAATGAAAGGTATCAACTGATAATGGGTCATTGTAATTACTGATTAAATAAATAAACTGAATAGCCGTTTCGTGATCGATATGAAGTAGTAATAATGTATTCAGAGGTTTGGACTTAGGCTTGTAAGAATACTCTCAGCCATTAAGATCTCTTTTTTGATCTGAAAAAGAAAATCATCCAATTTCTTCAGTCGGGAGTGTAAATTGATTGAGTCACGTGACGAATTGAAGTACGTAAGCTTACGTCAATGTTGTTTTTTTATCAGACTATTAATTCAGTGTCCCTCGTCTTTTTTTCAATTAAGGCAGTATGTTTCGTTGAATTTTGCTTACAGTTCCATATTCTACAAGCAATATATTTGTGATAAAAATGAATCCATTCACTAAGTGAGGCTATGTTTCATGTGATTTGATTTCGAGGCAAAGAACTTTTGGTGTTGAAGGGAAATATTCGAGCAACTTTCCTCATTGGTGCAGTTGTATTGCGTTGTCTTCATTCCAGAAATAAATGAATCATGTCGAACAGTATTTGAGTTGAAGCGATGAACGTTGAAGCGTTCGTTCAGTTTATCAACTGTTTTATTCTTCAAAGATGGCATTTCTCCATCCTCTTTCCATTATTTTTTCAGTTGTTTTCCAACCATCTGCGTACCAAATTTATTGCATTATACTTACCTACATATGTCCTATAACAGTGTTGCATCGTCGCTGACTTTTGTTTGTTGTAGTTTGCTGAATGCACATTTTTTTGGAACTGTTCGATGAATAATATTCATTTTCCTTTCCTTTCTAATATAGTACAAGAAAATTTATGGGACTATATAGATCATTTTTGAAATTCACTAATTATAATGGCAATTTTTTGGAAACGTAATCAGTTCATTAATGTTCAAAAAAGTTTAGGAAGTTTTTCAAGTGGATAAATAAATTCATGAAAAATCTTTTACTTCGTCATTTCAACTTTTCAGCTCACGATTGGTATTTTTTGAAACGGTAGTAATATCATGTTGTATATCAATGAGCGTTACAAAGTGAATGTTTTGACGGGACAAAAGCGTTAGTCAATGCTTTTAGATGTGTGTGGGGGTGCACATCTTAATATTTATTCATTTATGTACGACTTTCTCTTTTCGATTTATTATAGACGCCCACCATATAGCACATTCAGTTAGTTAGTTGAGTAGTTTATTTATTCATGTGTTCATGAAATATTATATAAAATTATCAAATCCTCTTTATAAATATTTTATGAGGTTTAATTTCTTACATTGATTCGTTCTTTTTTATTCTTATTTTTTATATTTCAATTCTTTCGAATATGTGTCTCATTCTCACTTCTCTCTCACAACTGAACTAATTCTGTCACATTAGCTGCTACAGTCACATTCTATGTGTATAATTCTCTGTGTTTGAATTTTTAATTTGAAGTCGACTTAATTCTGTCACCTTGAAGTACTCCAAAAATTCCCCAAAAAAGAAGTATCATTTTTTCTGCAACGTTTACATAATGTAGTTACATTGTTGATAATTTAGTTCACTGCGCTAGCGATTCACTCGTCAATTAGAGTATTTCCGTAATTAAAAAACCAGTAATTTTCTGCACTCATTTGAAATTAATATGGAATGCCATATGTGACATCAGTGTTGATAAAAATTCGTCATGCTTATCGTATGAATTAACTCATTCTCAAATTAGTTCCATTTTTAGGATCATTATTCATGCATTTCATTCATCCACTCTTCGTGAACGAAAGGATATCGTGAACGTTATTTCAACTGCATTTTTATTCATTGTGCAGGTGTGTGTATGTGTGTGGTTGTGATCCCTTTCGTATAGCGACTGCTTTCGTGATAATAACAACTTGTTTCATCTCATCATCGATACCAAATAGTGTTTTGAATATCAGTCATAGTAAAACAATGGTTTCTTTCTTAAATTCAGAGCTAAATGTGCAACTTAGTGCAGAGGGTTACAAGGCGATTAGAAAGGCAAGAAACATGAAAGTGGTGGCTGCTGTAACTCTGAAAGCATCTACGAACTCAGAGCTTCAAAAAGTTTTAGTGAATTTTGAGAAGAAGAAGGTAGGCTATTCAGCAAGAGAAGATGAAGGGCACGAACGTGAATGTGTTGTGTGATGATAATTTGTTTGCGTTTGTTATCACTTCAGTTAGTTGATATGATTCTATGACGTGATTGGTGTTTTGTTACATTTTAACGCTTCATCTAGATGTTTTTTCGCATCACTTTTTCGGTTATTGTCTCATTATTGTCTTTGTTGGTAGTAGTATGATTACAACTGCTATTGTATGAAATTTATTGATACTGATCATCACATTTCAAATGGTTCATTGAGTTGTAGATTGTTCGAATATACATTCACTTGAGTTCACTATCGAATTCTCAATAATTTAGTTCCTTCATTATTCAGTCGAACGAATGAAAATAAATTTTAAAGAATATTCAAACAAGACACTCCTTTTAGTGGTATTATATCTCAGTTATCCATTCGAAATAATTCATCTTGACTGCATTAATTATATAAATTTACTTTTTCATATGATTATTTTTACCATTCTTTTAAATATAATTGAATTGTCACTCAATAGAACTCAGTCAGTATTCATTTTTGAATTGTCAATTATATATTTCGTCATTCGTTTGGTTATTCATATTCAATTATATAGTAATTAAAAATGATGGTTGTTGGTTGGAATGGCGTAAGTATCATTTAATAAAGAATATTGTGCATTCTGAACAAGCGCAAATTGTTTGAGATGGTATTCATAGTGATAATAACACTATTAAAGATTCTTATTATAACATCAGTTTTAAATTTCAGACAGATGGTATATGATGGTTTCTGATTTTAAAAAATAAACTGAATTATAACGACAATATTTGATCAGTACCAATTAAAAGTTTGTCTTGTTCTCCTGAAGCAATGTGGCGCAGCAATTCAGCGAGTTCTCGTGTGGCAGCACATTCAGCGTCCGTAAGACAACAGCACTACTTACCGAAACATCACGAAATTGATCTCGAGAAAACGTTCCATGCGATGGAAATTGGTAGTTAATCCGTGATGTTCCTTTTTGTTGTTGTTAAATTTAGACTTCCTTGCTGCTATAATGCACTGTTTAAATCAGTTCTCTTGAATTTTATGTTATTGCCTAAAGAAAATAGTGAAAGATGTGTCAATATTTCAGGTCACAGAGTGTGTAAGTTAATGCTTTTAAAAAGATGGGATCCAACCTATCAAAAACTTTATTACAATCGAGAAACAAGGCAGTTGATGCTGAAAAAATTGGATGCAGCCGGAAAGGTGGTCTGGTCTTATTTATTTGTGATTCAGTTCATTAAAGTGATCAAACGGTTGCACGGCAAAAATGAGCAAAGCATTGCGTAATTGTTCACACGAGGCAACGTTGATTGATCACAGACATTGCATGACACTTTCACGTGTGATTTTGATGATATGTATTGAGGCTGACACCAGTTCTGATTTTTCTTATCCATTTTTGCGGAGAACAGCAATTCAATAGTAACGCTTGTTCGCCCCCGTGAGGTCGAGAATTCCATATTAAACGTAGTTGTGACAGTGGCTGAACGAAAAATTGGTTCGATCAACATTCGACGAAATCCCGTTCAGCTGTTTATAGTCATACCGAACAATCTCCGGTTTCATCAGATAGAATCCATTCTCACAATCTCGAACTTCAGCACAAATGCATGAATTGTCAAACCTGAAATTCGATCTATTACCGTCACTAAACGCTATTATGTATTAAAAAAGAGTACGATCTAAAATATGGTCATTATTGTTCTGTAGTTATCATAATCCAAGGATGAAGATCCCTTGAGTTATTTTTAATTATCTGTGAGAAGGGACTGACAACAAATGGTACAAACAAGTTGAAAGCAAACTGCATTATTCATCTTCAGACGGGTTACCAAAAAGAAAACAAGAGAAAGAACGTTAAATAATTGAGTAAGTTTGCAGTGCTGCAGCAAGGCTCAAACACTGGACTTACGTTTAGTGAAAGAGGTGCAGACGTTGGATTTTAAGCTGAATACAGTAAAAATATTAGATAAATGGTCTAAAGATAAAGAACTGAAGCAATTCGATATGTGCAAAATATTAGTGATTGCATATGGAAATGCATTTGTTCTCAATCATTGGATTCTTCTTTGTGAGTGATTTCAGTGAGTTTATTATAAATGTATACATAAATGATTATGAATGGTTGATGGTAGCGCTAGATTTATTGCTTACATATTTGTGAATGTGAATGTAACGTAGCGATATACATTTGATTATATACGTTTTGAAGCAATGAGTGTTAAGATTCTCCATGAATTCGTCGCAGTTCGATGACTGAATTGCAAAAAGCGTTTGATTGAGTATTCTTTAAAAGTAGATCTTCATTTAAAAGTAGATCTTTGGTGATATTATGATTCAATCAGTTTTAATCTATTGACACCAATCTTTGATTAGCAAGGCTTAATATATCGTAAACTTGATGTTTAGCATAGAGATTAGTGAATATCATTCAAAAACAACATAGCTATTGGGATAAACTTTTCTCTATTGAGAAAAGTTTCGATTCGAGTCAAATTATTTATATGTTAAAAGGAATTTATTAAATATAAATTCAAAATAATATCGACTCATTTATTTAAGTTGATGCAGCGGATGCATGTCGAATGTGGTGTCAAGGAATCCATTATGTCATGATGGATACAGTCTCAGCGTGTCATAGTCTTATTATTGAACGATGGCTTAGAAAAGAATTTTATAATCTTATGGATGCAAATACGCAATGGTTGGCGAGTTTGAGATCTTTCGTCGCTCATTTTTTCATCAATAAATTCCACATTCCATATGGTTTTGATTTATTATAGTGGTCGTTTGGTTGTCTTGCTCGGCATTGGATGTTTTCACATATTTTGATGCTGAGCTGGCTTCAGTGTGTTCCGATCGTTAAATGCAGTTCCTTTCAAATATTCCGTCATTTATAATGATCGGTTGTATAGAAGAATAGGTCTGCAACGAGCATTTGAACCAGCCCTCAATATATATTTGCATATACGTATGCACTTTGCACGTGGTTTCCATGATATAAACGAATTGTCAGCTCATCATTTTGAATTGATTGGTTGTGATTTAGAATTATCCGGTGCATCGTTCACGGCATTACTTGTTGATCAGCTGTTAGTCTTGATCGCATATGGCAAAAAGCATTGCAAAAAGATTATGATTTTCAGCGTTGCCATGAAACATATGAAACCGTTTGTGCAAACAAGTCTACAGTTCAAAGTGCAATCAAAACAACTTNTGTTAGTCTTGATCGCATATGGCAAAAAGATTATGATTTTCAGCGTTGCCATGAAACATATGAAACCGTTTGTGCAAACAAGTCTACAGTTCAAAGTGCAATCAAAACAACTTCAAGAAATTATTGAGGTTTGCTTTATCCTTTGGTTCAGAGTTTACCAGTGAATTTACTTGCTCGTTTCTCAACCCTTATTTCATTCGTTCAGATTTATTCAGCATTTACTGATGAGTAGTGATAGAATGTTCGATCGCATAATGATCATGCATTTGTGTGTTTATGCGATTTGCATAAACCATTTTATACATTTGTTGTTTCAATTACTCTGACTGTGCTCAACCAACCATCTTTCAATCGCGTATACGACGCTAGTCACAGTATGCTTTCCGGTTTTTTTCTGTCGTCCACCTTCCTCCATAAGTTCAATGTGGCTACTCTGTTTTTGTGCCTCTTTTGAGCGCATCCGGCTGGTCTTTTTTTACACCTCTGCATATTATTCTTATGCCGTTCTAATGCCACCATATATTTTAATGCGCAAATCTGTTAGTTGCTAAGAGTTCCGTCAGCAATTTACTACATCTTATTACTGCTTCTTCGAACCTTATTGAGAAAATATCGTTACAATGGGGATCTTTTTGATTTGATTTGTGTATGTATTGTAATAATTGATTATTTTGTGTTCGGTTATTAATTGATTGTTATGACTTGTTTTTTTTTAGGAAGAAATGAACTACGATGCTTTTGCAGTGGCTTATCGAAAACTAATTCATTTGCATTTCGTGAGTTTATTTTATTACGCCGAACGAGCTTTATTTATTGTTATTAAATTCAATCTATTCAGTCGCGTATATTTTAGTTTATGAACCTAACGCATCTATATTCTTTCATATTCTTCCAGGACTTAATGAATTCTTCATATTATCATTCATATATGTTCTTCGTTGTTTCAGCTGTTTACGGACCTTTTTTCGGCCTATTCAGATGATAATGTCAAAGTGAGCTTCAGTAATTTTATGCGATTCTTGAAGGATATGCAAAACGTTTGTTCATTGATTATAATTTATGTTTCTGACCTACTTCAGCTAATCCTTCTTTAGTTTTTTCTAGTCTTATCTACTCTTTTCCTTGTTATTCTTTTTCTTATCTAATCCATGTCCGCAAAACCTATCACAATTCGTCATCATTTTGTTTCCTTACAAATTATCAAATTAATCAACTTAGGCTTTCTTTAAAGTTGCTCTTCCAACGACAGATATACCTGTTCAACGAGTCGTTGAGTCGATTCTTAAGAAATGCATTTTATTTGGCTAATTTAGTTGATTAATCAGGAGCAGTGCTTGATTTCAGCCTACAATTTGCCTTCTATCACAGAATTAACGTAATGAAAAATTTCAGGACGAATTAGGCACTCACCGAGAAAGAACAAGTGATTTCTTACGATGTTACTTGAGGGAACTGGATGCATCAAGAGACATTCCAGAGCCATCGTTGAGTGTTTTAGAGGTTTGTGAGTGCAATCTGGTTTATATCACAGAAACATGAATGCAAAATATCACACTGATACACAAAATGTGCATTTGAATTTTCGTTGAATAATTTTCAGTTTTGTGACTTTCTGTTTTCACGTGAGAATAGTGTGTGGGATTCAATAAATGAACGAGTTATACATGATATGAATCAACCGCTGAGTCATTATTGGATTGCTTCTTCACATAATACGTTCGTTTTAACTCATCATTTTCAATCAGCTCGAATTTACTACACATCTTTTCATATTTTCGTGTTTCGCTCTGAATTCTCTTGATATCATCAGTTTTCGATACCACGCTGGTAAAGAAACGATGATTTGTTTAGAAAGAAGCATATTCATAAGCGAGTTAGAAGAAATGTTTAGCATGCAATATAATTAATCACTTACTATGCATGTGTATTGTTTTCTGAAAAAAAAAACAGTTGATTCCATATCACTGACGCTCTAATCGTGATAGTAATTCATGCATTGCAGATATTTGACGGGTGATCAGCTCAAAAGTGAGTCTTCATTAGAGGCATATGCAAAGGCATTACTTATGGGTTGTAGATGTATTGAATGTTAGTTGATTATTAAATAACCGTTTCGACAGTATAACCGTTATTCTTTCATGAAACTGAAATGTTCATCACTGCTCAAAATGTACTCTCCAAAAGAAACTAATGCATGATTTGTTTTTGTTTTTTTTTTTCAACTTTTCGTTATTGTCATTGATATCAATCATCATTTGTGTGAATCGGTTGCCATTTGTCACGATGCGTTGATTATTCTTTGAACTGTGTGAAAATTTCATCCAGTTCAGTTATTATTACTGTTCTAAAATGTAACTGTTGATGTTTTAAGTAGACTGTTGGGATGGACAAAAGAGGGGCTATGGCGATGTGTTAGAAATAGTTATATATCATGGTTATACGATGACAAGTAAACTGAACCTGAGAGATGTTTTATACACAATCCGACATTACGCCTTCATTAATAGCGAGTATGTTCCATTTATGATTCATTCGTTTTTATTTCCTTCCAAAACATTCATTTGAAAAGGACACTTCCACAACTTATGGCCTTTGCATGACAGTGCTGATATCATAAACTTATTACAGCGCTTAATAAACGCATTGCAACCGTTGAAAATTCGGTCGCAAAACTTAGTGTTCACTTCATAGTCATTAGAGAATCAACAGTCAATAAAAATCAGTATGATCTAGTGTGGTGCGCGAATCGGGCAATTTCAGGGTCCCCGGCGCTTTTCCAGCCATGGATATTTCCGGGGTATTTCCTAGGATAATCATAGATAATATTTTTAAACAAAAGCGAAATCAAACATAAGACTGATCATGAAATAAACAAATCCTATAATTCAATATGCAAGTATGTATGGTCTTCCTATGCACAGTCTATCTCTAATTTCGAATTTTTTCCCGCCGCACCGACCGTTACATTAGATCATCACTTACTCTCAGTTTCTACCAATTTTCTCCATTCCCTTTCGAAAAGTTGGACATGTAAATTTTTGCAGCACATATTAGAAGTTATATGGTGATGCGCATCCAAAAACAATCTTTTTTTCAAGTTACGAATAGAATTCACGATGATATCAAAAAAACGGAAATTACTGATAAAGACACAAAAGGAGAAAATATCGTAGATCAAAGAATATGTTCAGTGCGACATTGGTCTATAATTAAGCGTATAAAAATGAAGAAGTTAGCGATAACGACATGAAAAAAGAAAAGTGAACGAGCATTTAATAACACCAAAACCAGAAATCAATGAGCATGCACAGCACTCCATTTGTTAATATTCGTTTATACCATTAAGGTGGGTCGAAATAAATTTTTTTTTTCAAATTTCCAAATTTTTGATATCGAAAGAATTTTTCGGCCTTCTATCAAATAATTGTGCGCATTTCCAGTTCGCCTCGCTATTATTCAGAAATGGAGTTTTCAGCTTTCAATCACTCTGTATCTCACTAAAGGCATCTTTTTTGGCTCAATTGTTATTTTATTTCGTCACAGAAAAACTAGTGTAAAAAACGAAAAATTCGAGAAAACCAAGTTAAAGATAAATATGAGATCGTTAGGGACAGCATTAAGAGGGTCGCTGAGCTGTCCGATCTTGGCTAGAACATCGTCTGGTGTTAGGATTCGAAACATAAGAACTCAAGCAATATTATGAACGAATAAAAATTTAGTCAAAGTGAATTCCTCCCGCAATTATTAGCCCGAAAATGACGCGTAACATCACAAATAGCAGAGCAGAAGCTCTGGCCGGAGCCTCAAACGTGATGCGGAACTGGAAGCAGAGTCTATGTCTAAAGTTCGATTCTAGGCGTGGATTTTGGTCCGAACCTAAAGCGTGGGCTTAACCTTCTGCTTATACTTTAGCTTATGTTTGAAGCCTAAGCCTAAGTCTGAGCCTAACCTGCATCTGCGTCTTGGCAGGAATTAGAAATTGACTAAATTTTCATGCTGTTATACAAATGTGCCAAAAATCATTGATCCAAAAGAGGAAATATCCCTCGATGCGGTACGTTTCTCAGCATTCGAAAGTTACGTGTGAACTTTGGAGTGATTTTTCTTCCTTTTAGACTTGTCGGAATCGTTACATATTGAAAAAAACAGTCTGATCTCAAGTTCCTCGAGAATCTCTAATGATGAATCCTTGCGTTGTCCATTCAAAAACTCTGTTGTGCTGATCGTGAGTGCCTTTAATTTTCAGAAGATTATCTTTGAAATTTTCATCAATAATCGCCAAAATGCATTGGTAAGTTATCCCATATTCATTCATAAGAATCACTATAGAGATGTTTTGACTTTTCAAATTCGAAGCTTAAACGTAAGGAGTTCACTCTTATGGAACATGTTACAGCTGAGAAACGTACCTCATCGAGAAATATTAAGTTTTTTGTTGTTCAAAAGTTTTGCATCCTTTTCTCGTCAAGGATGCAATTCTGACGAGAAAAGGATGCAACTCTTTTGAACAACAAAAAAAGGATGAATAGATTCAAGCGTACGATGTTCGTCACATGCATGTATATATTTCGTCTCTGAATCGCTTCTCATTATTTCTATCGCAAACACGTTACTCACATGTTTACTTCTTTCTTTTGGTCCATTGCTTTATTAAGATTTGGTTCTTTCCCAGCATCATTTTTTTGAACCGCAAACAAGTGATAATTTCTGAGGCACACTACTTTCTTCTTTCGTATACTGCAGGATGACATCTTTGTTTCGTCATTGTCCAAGGAGGGAAAACATAATCAAAGACCTAAAATGTATAATAATTTTTTTTAAAACAATGAAACTCGGCAAAACAGAAAACGCACCACAAAGAGAAGTAAAAAATTGCCAATAAACGCTAGAATAAGTGGGTCAATAATTTCAAAAGAAAATCGACCAAAAAAGCCCCATTAGCAATAGAGCAACAAAATGAACGTCAACGAAATAACAGCATTTGAGAATTTACCCCAATTTAAAATCAACGAGAATAACATAAATTTAGCGTAAATTTTCTCCAAAGAGATGGATGATGATGATTGAAACATTTCCTTCTAAGAGATAATGAAGTTTTGAAGAGCATTTGAACTATTCTTGCATTTATTCATTGTATCCAGTAAGACAGAGCAAAGATTTTCATTACTCCTTTTATTGTAAAGTGCTGCAGTTGAAATCACAGCGCATTTTGGCCATAAATTTTTATTCAGAGGATCAATCGTCCTTTGAAATTGATTATCTTGAAGTCAATTTTTACACAGTTTATTTAAGTCAGAAGACATGTTTTCGAGGGCTGAGGAAATTCTGAAATATGAAAGGAATTGGTACCCTAATATATAGGTTCAGGTGGCAAATCTTTTCGAATATCGGATTTTCAAGGGTTCAAGTTCTGAAGAATATGCCATCTGATCTAGAAACTGCCGATGCAAAACTTTGCTTCCAAAAATTAATTTGCAAGGTTACTTGGCTAAATTGTTTTTTGCCTATGGTGCGTTCTATCAGCGTAATTTCTTTTTCGATGAACTTTCGCAAAACTTTTTTTTAAATTTTCGGTTAGAAAGACACAAATTTGGTGAGTGAGATCATTTCACTCGACAACATTTCACATCAATTTTTTTCGAGCCAAATTTCACATAGGTTGTTTTCAAAATAGAAGGCACAGTTTTCTGAGCTGGGACTTGCACTTTTCGGAGTTTGATTTTTACTACAGAAAAATTTGTCAACCTAAAAATTTGTACATCTAAATATGAGCCATGATTACAGAACATGGTTTTGTTGTTGAAATCAAAAGACCGTGTGCCACTGCAAAATGTGTTGTTAAAATATTGAATCATAATTCGAAACAAATACCTTGAATGGCATCATTTAACTACAGCCGTGCGTCAACTACACCTAAATGTGAGTCGTAGGGAGTCCACTAAGTAGTACGTACCAAAGGGATACAAAATCAAATGTCTTGACTGAAGCTGCATGGAAATTCGGCGAGATGTGAGACCAATTGGGCCTTTCCCTAGCCGAACAGCGGTGCGTCAGTGGATCATGTCCCTGTAAGCAGTGCGAAAAAACTCGCTGCCACTGAATTAAAGTTGACCGTTTTCCGTGTTGATTGAAAGACTTCTGTTAACGTTTGCAGTAACAGTTTTATCGTGTCCATTAATAAGTTCATTGAAGATTGCAACAAACCTTTCATCAACACAAAGCAGTTTGTTACTTCAGATACCCTGTAATTTTGTCGATCGAAGACAATTGTTCTGTGCCAGCGCAACGTCTCTTAGCACAAGAAATCAAAGAAATTCTCGGTGATCTCCTTTTAACAGCACCCGTAAGTCGAGAAGAGACAACTTTACCGTCTCCAGCAGCTTTGAAGCGAAAGATTATTCTCAAACATAAGAAGCTACCAATTGAAAGTGAAGATATTGTGCCACTGCAAAACGATGACGGTCTGCTATTTCTATTCTTGTTCAGTAAACAGTTCGAGCGAAAATTTTATTCATCTCCGTATGGAATAATACATTCGAATAAGTCCATCTGAGAAACTTTTTGGCTTGATGTAATAAAGGATAAATATTGTTTCCTCGAAGTGAGAGCATATTTGTTCGTTGCTTATGTAGAATTTAGAGGGACTATAAAATAGCCTATCAAAATGATTATTATTACCAAGGAAAAAACAGTGTGAAAATTTGCAGATGATCACGATTTGTTGTCAAAAGAATGTGTGAAACGTGGTATCCTTTATTTGAAGAGCAATGCAACACATGTTAGTGTGTGCTTACGTATTTTTGTCTCAAAGGATTTCATATTTCATAAACAGATCCGTAAACAAATCTAAAGCAATCCTCTAAATTGGTTTGAACGAGCCTACTTGCTGCTTCAATTATTCTTTATCCTTATTTGCTTATTCTTTTATTTGTTTTGCTCTCCTTTCTTCACCTTGAAAATTTGGGAAACTGTATATCTCCTCATCTAAAACTTGTTGAAAATTTCTCCTCCCATAGTTTTCTCTCAATCAAGGAGATATGGTATATCACTCATCTCTTATACGTTTGACTGACACGTAACTAGCGAAGGGTTATTCTCAAAAAAACATCACTTTTAAGTTACGAAGAATATTTCTTTCATTAAACTATTCTGTCACCTGTATGAATTTATTAATTAATACGAAATCAAGTTAACTTCGGTAATAAAAGGATCTTTTTCAACGGGATGCAATACGTGTTAATGAATATTCATTAATATGTAACCATTTTAGTCGCACTGTTACTCGAAAATTTTGTGGAATGATGATAGACTTTATGTATCTTCAATTAATGAATATTAATAGCAACTTATGTTTTGAAGTAAAATTAAGTAAAAGAGAAATGAAGTAAAATGAAAGTAAAATAAGATGCTTCCAAATAAAATGAAATAAGATGAAAGTAAAAGATGAAGTAAAATGATGTGCTTCCAGGAATGGACAAAACATGTTTTCGTGTTATTTTCGGATCGACTTTGCTATATGCTAGAACAGTGTGAAACAACAGATTCGTCTGAAAATTTACTAGCTCGTGAAGATTCAATTGGTATTGGTTCAGGTGGAGATGATGAATCGATATCGGTTGGATTTTCTGTAATTCAGGCTGAATTTATAATCATTAATGAATTGATCGAATGGTATCGGTATAGAATGGAATGAACTGAAGTAAATTAAGGATGATACGAGCAGTTTAATCGGTTTTGGTGTACGTCCAGAAGAGTTGCATGTAACTGAGGAATGGTTTCATGGGAAAACAGATCGTGATACGGCTAGAGCACGTTTAATGGAGCATCAAAACAAAGGCAATGGTCTGTTTTTGGTTCGTGATTCAACCATATTCATCGGTGATTTTTCACTTTCATTTTTGTAAGTTCCTTTTATTCTCGTCACATTTTCAAAACTTCATTTAGTTCACTTGTTTTCAATGCGTTCACATTGAAACGATTGTTTTTAGTGGTCTATTTGAATTAATAAAATTTGTTTGAAAAGTAATTATGAAGTAACGCAAAATTGTTAAGACACGATGGTCAAGTTCATCATTGCCGTATAAGAACGCGTATGGTGCACGGTGAAAAGAAGTACTATTTTTTGGAAACGAAACAAATGGATACTCTCTATGAACTGATTTCATATTATACGAAAGAAAAACTTAAAACACCGAAATTCAGCACGACATTAGTGACACCTTGTCCACAGCCTTGCCCACATCTGAGTATGCCGTAAGTTGTTCACTATATTCATTGTATGCCGTATTATTTTGAATATTAGCCAAAGACCAGAAGGCGACTCTATGCATGTGAGGTTTACAAGGTTTTCGCTAGGAGATTTTGTCTGGATCCTCTTCTAGGAAGATACTTATCAACGAGAGGAACTTCTGTTCAAGAGGATGCTGGTTTTTTGTATTTGTTGCTTATTAGGATAGAACGGTGATAATTTTCAGCTGGTTTTCTGAGAAAGCTGACAAAAAACGAGCAGAAGAGTTGTTGAATACGGTTCGAGAGGATGGCGCGTTTTTAATCCGTTATAGTGGAACCGATCCAAACGTATTCGTTTTGTCTCTGAGGTTTGGTCCTTTTCATTCTAATAATTAATTCGTTTGTCCATATTTCATCCGTGCAAATTTATTCGCCACTTTCTCGTTTTTCCAGTAAAGTTTTGCAGTTCCCAACTCGATCAGTCATCAGCAGCAACGACAACAGTAGACTGCTTTTAATGTCTCATTGATCGTAAAATTTTCGATGTCAAAATTTTTGGGTAGAATTTTGACATGTTCGGTCGAGAGAGATAAATCATAACTCTCAATGGAATCACTGAAGTAGTGCTAACGCGGCTTCTGAGTTTTAAACTGAATCGTTTCAGTGAATAGAAAATTGTGAATGAATTGATGAATAAATGGTTAATAAACAAAAATGAAATAGATAAATTGTAGAGTGGATGCTGAGTTCTGGCATTATCGATTGAAGCGTGACGGTCGTATATTTGTTGTGAATCAAACCGTTTTTGAGAATCTCAATCAGATCGTTGAGTTTTATTCAACGCACGATTTCGTTCGTGGTATTTGCTTGAAGTATCCGGTTAACGAACGTAATGTTGGTAAATATACAAACACTGCTAATGCGACACCGGGATGCTATATGGAATTAAGAGATCTGGAAAAGGATAAAGAGGTTTTCATTCTCAAATGCTTTCTTCATTGATAAGTGATGATGAATATTAGGGTGACAGTTTCGAATATTCAATCTCTCAGAAAGATATCTTCTCATACGAAATTTTTTTGCTGGAAAAGTTAGTCCAAGAAGTCGCTAAATTAACTTGTCAATTTTCGCCAGGGGCGCCGTGGTGCGCATTTATCGAATTTTTGAATTTCTAAGATTTTATCTTTCAAAAATATGCCCTCTAGCTTGAAAATTTTTGTTCAATTTAATTCGCTCGAAAAATTGATCTTGAAAGTCTCCGGGTCGAATTGTTTGTTTTTTTTTTGCCAAAAATATCTAACCAAGTAATGTAGGTGACACGATCATAACCCCAATGAATAAGTGCTCTCTTATACCAGGAGACATCAGTAATATTGAGTATTTATATGCAAATATATGAACAGAAGTTATCACTGTTTTTGTTTATCATTGTCAATGTGTCTGAAATTTATTATAAGATGAGTCGATGTAATCGTAGGATGTTTAGATATTGGTTCGAGCAATTGAATCTTTTACAGCAAGCCAGCAAAATGAAATTTCTTTCCCAGTTAATGCAGTAATAACCGTGCTGAGAAAAAATGGCGTGAGGTTATCATTCATTTCTCATTAGCATTGCTCTTTTCTTCGTTCACTTTCTATGCAATTAATGTTTATTTTGCACAGATTCTAATACAATTCTGTTGTTACGGAAAGCAGTTACAGATGGCGTGGCAAATATGGTGCACAGGTTGGCTTCTTTCCGGCACGTTGCGTTACGGAAATTGAATTTAGTGATGGGTGTTTGGTATGTTTGCAGATTGATATTCTTTATTGCAAGAACTGCTCTCTGATAGTGAAAGTTATGTGCAGTTAGAGTGCATTCAGTGATGCGGTGTATGCAGCACAAATTATTGCTTTTTTTGTTATGAACACAACCAATTGTATCTTCCATTCATTCCAAACAATTCTTAGATCGATCTGCAACATCAATGACTATTATTATTGTTATTATTATTATTATTATTATTATTATTATTATCAGCGATAACAATTTTATTTATTCCACTACATGAAATGCAATTTTTCAGAATGATACACTTAATTATGCCACTATTGAATTGGCTGGATCATTAATTGCAAAAGTTCCAGTCGGAGAAACTGATCGACCGTTCGCATTCAAAATTTGTCAAGCCGCAGCTCATTGGAATGTCACTGTTAGCTTTGGCAGTTATCATAATAATAATTATTATTATTGGTCACTTCTATTGTTTTTGTTATACTAAATGAGCATGAGTAGGAAGCGAATAAGTTTTCATTTTCTTAGTCGATTCGTTTGTTATTTACGATGGAGCATGACGGTTTTGATAATGCACAATTCTGATAATGAAATACGTTAGGAATACGTGATGGCTGCCAATTCGAATGACGATCGTGAAGATTGGATGAATACACTTCACGAGTTAACAAGAACAGCCACAGATCGCATTCATATTCTACGAACTCGAGAAAAGAATCTTCGTATCGCATCTGAACTATCCAATTTGGTTGTTTATTGTCAAGCAGTACCATTCAATTCACAATTTGCTAGTCCGTTTTATAGCTTCTTTGCAATTGCTAGCCATTTCTCTTCTTTGCTTTCATCTTTCCATAGCTTGTTGCTGACGACGGTTCGACAGCGAAAAAAGTGTTGTATTTTAGCACAATGCAGTTTCTACGAGATGTGTTCGTTCAGTGAAACCAAATACGACAAGTTGATGGAACGTGGTTTAGTACAGTTTAATACGCGACAGTTATCACGTGTTTATCCACAAGCGTCGAGGGTGACGTCGACTAATTATGATCCAATGCCAATGTGGAATTCTGCATGTCATATGGTTGCATTAAACTACCAAACCGGTGATAGAGTTAGTTAAATTGTTATTGTGTGTTAATCTTATTGATAATGGTTACTTTAAAGCATTCTTTTCAAGGCAATGCAACTGAATCAAGGAAAATTCATGGCAAACGGACAGTGTGGATATGTGCTTAAGCCGGCTTATATGATCGATGATATGTTCTCACCGAATGATGCAAATACCATCTCGACATCGTGTCCGATTACACTTTCCATCAAGGTTTGCTTTTTTTTTCTTGATTATTGAATTCATTTTTTCGTTCTATTCATATAGCATGTATAAAATTTCGATTTTAAAGGTGATTGCTGGGCGACATTTATCGCGCAAAGACAAAAACAAAGGTATTTGTTCACCATTCGTTGAAATTGAAGTCGTTGGTTTGCCACTGGATAGTACTACTGCACGGACACGTGCTATTGGTACGTAGTGTTTTCGTTGAATATTCTGATTTTTTTTTTATTTGATCATTTTTGTTGCACACGCATTTACGTTATGCAACTAGTGATGCCTCTATACCATCTTTTTCAAAACTGTTCTGTTCTATTCCGCTCCAAAATGGCTCTATTCTATTCTATCTTTTGTGGTTTTTTTTAGAGAACTGTTCCATTCTGTTCTTCCGGGCTCAAAAACGATTATTCTATTCTATTCTGTGCATTCCTCGTTTGAGAACTGTTCTATTCTATTCTATTTTACTCGCTTAAATTGTGCTGTACTATTACTGTTCTATTCTGTACCCTCACGCAGAAAAATGATGCGATAAAACTTGTGGTAATTAGGGTTGGGAGCGTGGTTTTTTAGCGTTTTAAGTGCAATATGGAGATTATTTCGGTTGGGAGAAGATTGTCTACTCAGGCAGTTGGCAGCTTTTCACCGTGATAGTTGGAGGAAAACGGGGGGTTTCGGGCTCTGATAACCAGCATCATTGAAGAACAGAGGATTCCCGTTTCGTCCTAGCAGTTCGGTCAGAAACTGATGCACGATTTCTCGTACTAATGAGTTCTGAATGAACTGATTCGTTCAATTGGACTCAAATCCTCTAAGCATAAACTTTTATTGGAGACATAAAATGTGAACAATTTCTGTGCTAGCTTGCTCCTAGAGTACAGAGTACGACCAACATTTGAAAGGGGGGGGGGGGGGGTGTTCATTCGGAAACACAGTTGCATCCTTTAGTTGTTTCTTGTGGGAATTCCTCACTAACAGTCTTTGGCAGTTTTCAGATTTAACTGCGATAACTTGCCCTTGATGAGCTGTCAAATAATAGTAATAAAAGTAATATTAACGAATAACAATAGTTAAAATAATACTAGTTAATAATAGTGATAATAATCATAATTATAAATAATAGCAATAATAGTAATAATAATAAATAATAACAGAAATAATATACCAACGGTAATTTATCTCACTGCAGTCTCCACAAAGAACAGTTAAGGAGCAGCCAAAATCTGTTGAAAACTGTTCTGTTCTATTCTTTTGGGCTCGAGAACGGCCCTATTCTATTCTGTTCTATTCTATGCGTTCCTCGCTTGCGAACTGTTCTATTCTGTTCCTCGGAACAGAATTGGAATAGAATAATTTAACTGAAATAGAGACATCACTATATGCTGCAACGATAATTAAGTGAATAGTGATAATCATGTGGGCAATTTCCCACTTTAGAGCAGTATTTCTCAATATGGGAACTATCACCTACCAGCGGGCGAAAACGGCATATAAAAAAACGGCGAAGTAGGATAAACTTCTCAAAATTCTCGCAATGTTTCCTTGTCTGTCTTGAAAGCGTCTATTAGATATTGCCGAAGAGGAAGCGATCTGAACATGATCTCAGTGCACTTAGATGATTGGCCGAAAAAGGTTGAGAGCCACTGTTCTAGTGGAACAAATAATGTTTTCAATGAATCTTTTCACATACTCATACTCTTCACATGTTACAGCCTCGAATGGATTGAATCCAGTATGGAATGAATCTTTTTCATTCAAAGTTCGATGTCCTGAATTGGCATTATTGAGATTTTATGTTGAAGATGGAGATTTTGTTGGACCAAAAACAGATCCATTCATTGGACAAGCAGTTTATCCACTTGATTGTGTTCGTACGGGTTTGTTTTAGTTGTCGTTATATTTACGATTAGTAATTTATTCGTTCGATTTTTCTCTAATCAACCACTTGTTTTTCGATTGTTCGCTAGATAATGATTAAATTAAAACTTCTGCTTGTTGGTGATTTTTGAGCTGCAAAAATTTAGGTTATCGTTCTGTGATATTACGTAATCAGTTCAGCGAAGAGCTGGAACTATCAGCACTTCTGATTCATATTGAAATGAGACGTGACAATGTTAATGCTGAATTGTTGAATCCTCATTGTGCTCTACAAGCCGGACGCACTGTTATGGGTTCGTTTTTGGAACTGTATTTTATTTAAAATTATCGATGTGATTCTCATTTCAAAAGCATTGCAATTGTAAATGTATAATTTCCGTTTATCGAATGCCCATAGCGATGCGACTAATAATCATTGTTAAATGCAGCAGCATCTCATAAGACATCAATATCTCAGTCATCAGGAATATTCTCAGCAAGATTGAATTCCATAGATCAAAGTTCCTTTGCGACAACTTCATCTTGTTCTTCAACACCACTCATGTCCTCCTCATCATCTTTAAACACTGGTCATTGTCTATCCAGCCCAAACAGTTTCGATGCAAATGAGTTAGTCGTTTTGAATTTTTCATTTCCTGCGCACATTGATAATTCTAAAACATTGTTCACATTCCTTGATTTATTATGATGAAACGTGCAAAAAGCAAACACCTTAGCAAAAAAGCTTCAAGGAGATGCATCTTATTTGTTTCGATTAATCACATTCAAGTGGTCAGTTCATCCGTTTCATTATAAGTTAATAAAGTGTGAATTGTTCATATTACAGCGGTGTTTTACCCGTTCCAACGAGAAGAACAAGTGCATTACGCAAGATATTTCGGTTTGGTAAGAGTTAGTTGTATGATTATATGAAATCAGCAAGGAGGAGGTCATCTGATCAAACATATCACCCTTCATCTCACGTTGATAGTACTTTTCCTCTGTGGATATTGCTTGTGAATGTTGCTGATGTAAAATATTCGTTAAATTCATTTCATTTTATGAAAGAGTTTCGCAGTAATCACTCGTTATCCAATTGTTTTTCACCTCTTGGCTGAAACATCAAAATCGAGCGAATGACCAACTGACTTCCATTTCGTATTAGAAATTATCGTGTACCAGAAAATTGACTTCTATTGTTTATTAATTCTCTTGCTTATGAAAGTAGAGAATATAATTAATTCAGAGCACAACTGAAATATTTATTACAAATGATGTATGGAATACGTTCCATGTAAAGTATGAATAAGATGACTATTTCTAATATTTTGTTGGAAAATTTGAATTTGAATGTGTATACGGCTCCGGAAAAATTTGTCAAAGCTATCTGCTTCTAAAGTTTCAGATATTTATTTATTCATTGTTGACATTGTATTCTTATTGTAAATTTCAATTCAGTTCATTTGCTGATTAGGAATTCTAATGCTTTTGCTTTCTTTCTTGTTTTTATTCCGTTTTCCAAATTGAGCATTTCTGTTTTGCATACAGATATGTTTTCTTGTTATTCCATGTTCTAGAATTGTAAATATGTATATGTATTTTGATCATATTTTGATATTTATGTCATTTCTATCAGCTTTTTTTTTTGCTTCCATAACACCCATACTAACAAGTATTTCATTTGTTCAAATATATTATAGTTTGTAGCGATCGTCCGTTGATATTGTTTCCATATTTATTGTTTATTCTTTAGTTTGACCCATTTTCGTTAATCGTTTCCAGCAATTTACATAGTGCGCATTTGATATTTCCTATTTTGTCTTTTCTTTCTGTTCTTTTTTTCTCAATGAATGAAGTATTTTGTAATTATCAAATTGAGTTTCAAAATTTGAATAAGTAGTCGGTTTTTGTTAACGAAATTTTTGTTCTTTTGACTGCAAATTTGATATTCTATCTTCGAATAAACATTTAATTATGTTTAAGCCTGTTCGTTGATCAATTTTATTACATTTAGAAATAGTGACAATATATGACGACCTATTGTAATAGTTTACTGTTGATTTGTTGTGATATTATGACGATCATTATTGCTATTATCATCATTAATATCCTGTCATCAGTGTTATCTAATCTTCTCATACCATCCACTTAATGATCCCTGATTATCAACATTCGTTACTTACCTAAAATCACTTTGTCATTCTTCCAATAACGTGCAGTTAATCAATGCTTCTCTGTAAAAATTGTTCATTTTTTATCAGATCAGTTTTGATTGGGTTCCTCAATATATCGTTTTCACATAATGTCTCGTCAAAATTGATTGCCAACATCATTTCCCTCGTGTATCTTTTTCGTTTCATTTGATATTCTTTAACAATAATATTTATTCATTGAAAGAAGGCAGTACATATTGCCAATGATGACTTAAAATTTACTTGATCAGTTTTGTATTTTCTGAAGGATTTCGTTGATATATTGTATCATTAATTTGTCAGTTCCTTATATACATCAATGTACTGATAATTGTTTATCATTATGTATTGATGAAAGTGGTTTGTATAGGTTTACTTTGAACTTTTGGTTTTATTCTTAACCGCAGTTAAAATTTTGTTTCGTTAAGGTCGGGTTTTGAATGTCGCTCTATACTGAATATTCGGATGAAATGTTGAGTCGAGCTAAACCTAATGACGAAATTCTCGACGTTTTCGTTATGGAACGTTACGTTGATGATTTTACTTGTTGTTTTTTTTTTACCGCTAACATATTTTTATTTTGTGAACTATATGCAGTTTGCTCAATACGAGTCTTTGTTATTTGTTCATTGCTATCTGTGTTCATTCATCTCATATCAGTCTCAGTTGGCAGAATCCAAACGCTATTTTAAATTGCTATTGTTGCATTGCATTGATTTGCTTTTGCGATTTTATGTTCTTGTTTCCATAGTAATCAAATTTGTGAAAAATCAATCCGTTTTAATTGTTTTCTGTAATTTATGCTTTCTAATAGCGAAAAGTTTAAAAGTTTGGATTGATTGTGAACTTGACGGTATCAGTGTCATTCACACGTTTGTTTACGAGTGATTTACGATAGTTTATCGAAAAGAATAATCACGTTGTTTGTTTACTGTCGACACGTTGTTGAAAAGTTGTAAATTTTATTGATAAGCTGGGATGGAAACTTTGTAAAGAAGCATTCATTTGACAGAGTCAAGTTTCATTTTTTTATCATTCACTCATTGATTCATTAATATTTCCAAACGTTCATTTGTATATTAGAGCAGAAGATCATCATTACTGAAAGTATACCATTTTGTCATGTTTTAGTATAGTGATATCATCATCAACAATTGTTCTTAACACTATGATGAATTGAGTAAAAGATTATATGGTGCGCTGAAGTGGAACAGTGTTGTGCATATTTCAAATCATCGGTCTGATTGCAGATTTTGAAAAACATGAAGAAGGGCGATTGTTGTTTTGCTGCTCTTATATAGTTTACAATTAAATTGTATTAATTTCTTGACGCTTTCATCTCAGCGGCGAAAATGATATCTGTGCCAGATTCAGTGCCCTTTTGCAATGCTCGGTTATGAGTTGGTTTTGATTTCGATAAAAGTGTTGGCGGTGGAAGTGGTACACATTACCTTATGTAGTTGCGTTCGGCTGACAGTGAGACATTAAATGTAGCGAGTAGGCGCGAGGATTTGCTGAATAGTTTGACTGAGTTCACCAAGTGATGTGCTCAGATTGAAGTGTTTGTGAATGAATTGAATTTAGTACACGATACCGACTATAAGTGGTTAGTGGTATCGGAATATTGTATGTTTCCGAATGCGTTTGTGTCTAGTGGCATGTTGTATGTGCCCACTATTCACTACGTAAGATTGATTTATTAGCGAGTAGGAATTAGAATAAGTTGAGGGATAATACAGCAGAACGAAGATGGTAATAACTGACGGGAGTTGTAAGGATAATGATGACGGTATGTTTGTGATGAAAAACAACTGCGATGGGATTACGAGGCACGACTTATTTTACTGGACGAAAAGTGGGGAAAGGAAAAAACGTGTGGGTTTGGTTGGAGCGGAAAACTGTCGAACGAATAAATTGATGGGTTGACGATTGATTGAGCGACTGAGTTGAGGCTCAATAAGGGGAGCAATTCAGACGATACAGAGTGAATTCAATAAACAAGATAAGTTGAAACAAGGGTTCAAGTCAACTGTAGATGAATGATGGAGAAACGAGCTTGATTCAGACACAGAAAATCAAAAACAAGCAGCAATAATTTATGATAAAAAATTTAGCATTGTGATATTGTTTAAGACTGACGATAAGATAAAGAAGAAAATTATGATATATGTGAATGACGTGATGTATAGGTTAAAGAATTTAAAAAATTTTTCAATGTATTTGTAAATAAGATAAAATGTTTAGATACGATATAAATGGTACAAAACGAATCATAAATGAATCATAAGTCATAAGATAAAGAATGATAATCATAAGATAAGAATAAAGATTGAATTTTTTTTATAAACAACACTTTCGTAATTCGACCATGCTCGAACACCAACTTCATTTTGAGGAGATGTCTCTAGGATGTTTAAGGTACACAAAAGAAATAGAGAGTGACTCAAAGAATTCGAAAAAAAAAAACAGCATGACGTTTGTTTTGTTGTTTCATTTGTTGATCAAATGAGTTGCCGCTGTGAACAGTCGAAAATGTACACATCACATTTTCACTGCATTTCGAAATGAATCAAAAAAGTGAACGTCGTCCTATAAACGATTATAATATCCGTTCAATATTGCTGTATATATTGTGTTCGAGCAAATGCATATTCGCGAACAGAATCGATCTTTCAAAGCCTTTTCGCTTTGCGTTCATTTGTTTGTTTATTGTAGTGAAACGTTAAAATGTGCAATCAATGTCAATCAGAAATGAAGTGTTGATGAGAGTAATGAAATTTAAGATTAGGTTTATCAAGTTTTCCAAGTGCAATAAAAATGCATTTGTGCTTCCTTCATTTTTTGCAGTACTATTTGTAATATCAATAATGACATGTGATGTTACCACCATTCGCGCAGTTTATTGCTTCATCATTATTAATTATTGTAATTGATTTTCGATGTGATATTATCAAGTTTCATGACAAATGCGAATATATTATGTATATGTTCAAAGCAAGCAAGTTTCTTTGCAATTCAATTTTGTGAACGTTTTCGATTATTCAACACTATAGATCGATCAAAAAATGTTTTATATTGTTCATACTTGCATTTCTGTGCATGCGTTGATATTTTTAACAGTGATAAATGTTAATATCGTTTGAAGGATCCA